GAACTCAATTGGAGGTACCTCTTACCTATTTTCAACCGCTGGGGTCATCCAGAGGTGGATGTCTTCGCGACACGCCACAATGCGAAGTGTCGTCTGTTTTGTTCCAGGGCGGGGATCGACCCTTTGTCCATGGGGGACGGTCTTCTAATATCCTGGACACCTCATTTTGTGTTTGTCTTCCCCCCGCTTCCGCTTATTCACCGGGTCCTCATCAAAATCCAGCAGGAAAAACCTCGTTGCCTCCTGGTGACTCCGTGGTGGCCCCGTCAACACTGTTTTCCTCTGCTACTTCATCTGTCCAAGGGCTCCTTCCTTCACTTCCCTCGGGTGCCGGATCTTCTTCTGGCCCAACAGGGCCAGATTTTACATCACGATCCCCTGAGCTTCAAACTCACAGTCTGGAACATACTCTTTTTGTGATTAGTGACAGGATAGATGACGTCCTTCTCAATTGTTGTAAACCTTCCACGAGGGCTTCGTATGATGGGAAGTGGTCTAAATTTCTGGAGTATTTAGTCTCCCTCAAATTGCCTCCTCCCCCGTCTGATTTGAGGTCAATTTTTGGTTTCATTTTGTCCAGGTTTGACATGGGACTCAGTTTTTCCTCTGCCAAGGTCTATTTAGCTGCGGTGTCAGCGCAGTTTTCAGTTTTTTCTCACCCACAGACAAAGAAGTTCTGTAAAGGCCTCATCCAGCTTTATCCTCCTTGTCGTGAACCCACTCTGGCATGGGACCTGGCTTTAGTCCTCACTTTTTTGACTGGTCGGCCCTTTGAACCTTTGGCCACTTGTAGTCTAAAGCTGTTGTCTTTGAAAACGGCATTTTTGGTAGCCATTACTTCTGCTCGTAGAGTGAGTGAATTGTCTGCGCTTAGATGTGACCCCCCGTAATTGAGTGTTTCCCCTCAAGGGGTCTCGTTGGCTTTGGGCATTTCCTTTTTGCCCAAAGTTGTGTCAGAGTTTCATTTGCGTACTGACATAGTTCTTCCTACATTTTTTTCGTCTCCCTCCAGTGAGGAAGAATGCAGATTGCACTCTCTGGATGTTAAGAGGGCGCTCTTATTTTATTTGGGCAGAACCAAGCCTTTCCGTAAGTCTCCAGCGCTGTTTATCTCTCACAGTTTGCCTTCCCAAGGGAAGAAGCTTTCCTCACAGCGTTTATCCAAGTGGATTGTGGAGACTATTAAACTTTGTTATTCAATGGCACAGAAGCCGCTCCCAGGACAGCTTCGAGCTCCTTCCACGCGGGCAGTGGCAACGTCTACAGCTTTCCTGCGAGGTGCATCGCTGGAAGACATCTGTAACGCCGCGACTTGGGCTACACCTCTCACCTTTGTGAAGCATTACGCCCTTGATGTACGGTTCAGTCGGCGTACGGCTGTGGGTCGAGTGGTGTTTCAGTCAGCACAGATATAGGGCCTTGGCCCCTCCTCCAGGTAAGCGTTTTACTGCTTGATAATCTCCCAAGGGTATGATGCACAGAGACCACGAAGAAGATAGACAGGTTGCTTACCTGTAACTGATGATCTTCGAGTGGTCATCTGTGCATTCACACCACCCGCCCTCCTTCCCCTCTGCTCTCACCCCTTCATCTTATCCTTTGAAGGCTGTGGGGTGGCAGTCAGAAGGAACCGGTGGGATCTGCGTGCCCCTCCTTGGTCATGCGCAGTGGAGCCCGGCGCGTGACCAGGGAATGGGCACGAAAATCCCTTTTTGCTTGCTAACGATACCGAAGAAGGTCAGTGCAGGCGCAGAGGTGTCCAAGGTGTCCGATTCCCCATTCATTCAAAGTAAATCCACGTTTGATGAACAAAGTAGAATTTATTAAAAGAGATGGTTAGATCCGGAACACAATCATTGTTAGTAATGACTACAAAAGTCCAAGGGAAACATAATAAAGGAACTTGAACCGAGACAGGACCAATGGGCCCAATTCCCGCTGGCGGGAGTGTGATAAGTCTTAGTGCCCATTCCTTGGGAACACAACGGTTCATACTACATAAACACTAGTTCAGTTCTCAGGCTTCAGAATACATGATAAGGAGAGCAAGCCATAACTCCTTCCCACCTCCAGCTGGATGACCTTTAGCAGTTCCGCAGTATGCTAGCAACAGAAAGTAAACACCTACACAAGAGGCAACTGGAGGGGGGATGAACCTAGTACAGTATACCATGCAGAATAAAACATACAACATAATGGCAGCTTGCTGACACTATCCCAAGGGTGTGAATGCACAGATGACCACTCGAAGATCATCAGTTACAGGTAAGCAACCTGTCTTATTCTGACTTTAACCAGAGGAAATTACCTGCATTGACAATTTCATATTTTAATTATTATTCTTTGCCTTTACATCTATAAGATCAATATGAAGATAGAACTTCAGTCTAGTGCAGTTTTGACTCTCTTTTTATCATATGCACATTGACTATTAAGAGGTTATTGTTTTCTTCTACTGTATGATTGTATGGTTATGATCTTTGTTCTTCACTCAGGGGTGGCCAAATTGTGGCTCAGGAGCCACATGTGGCTCTTTCACACATATTGTGGGTCTCCCAGCAGGGCAGCTGGGAAAGCTAAATATCATTAGCAAACAAATATCATTGGACAAATAAATATCTTTATAAATATCGGCTTTTACTGCTTTTGTTATTATTTTGGCAGTCTCGTTTAATGTTAATAAAAAGCAAATTTGCATATTTCCTAGTAAAAAACACGTAATACTTCTTCATGTCTTGCGGATCTCAGACATCTGATGTTTATTCTATGTGGCTCTGACATTAAGCAAGTTTGGCCATCCCCGTCTTCACTCAAGCTGGAGAAGATATCAGAAGGATATTGAAACAAGTTTGCACCCAGGATCTTATCATATTATCCTGTCTATCTCACTGTTCATGTTCATATAATTGTGGATCCGTATTACTGTATTGCAGATAGATCTGATAAACTAATATTATAGTTTTGGTTCATACATCACCATAGTCTTCCATCTGGTATTTTTATATTCCATATACCTTTTGTTGATGTTCCTGCCTTCACACTAACCCTGTGTGGTTAGTGAAAGACCACCCAGTAACAAGGTAGAGCTCTCGGTATTCTCCAGGGATTCTTCAGTTATGCAGAAAAATATGACTATACATTAACAAAAAGAACAAACTCCCTTATAAAACATCCCGATGAGGACTAAATGTGCTCTAGAAGAGATGGATTGTTGAGAGCAGCTGAGCATGAGGTAGAGGAAACTTATGGGAATGGAGAGAAATTCCTCCCCTGCCAGGATTCCTCATGGGATTCTAACCTTGCTGAGAGAGAATACAGAACAGAAAACCTTTATTGGCATAACACAGATAAACAAGAACAAAGGCAAAATTTAAGGGATAGTACTAAAACAACGTCAACCAGTATTCCCAATATCTCAAAATACAAAGCAATCCTAACATGGTTTACGAGATTTACAAAGAACTACTCTTGACTTCCATACATAAGTCAAAAATTCAGCGACAGATAGTGTTATTGCTGGACTTTTGTCTGTTAGAAAGAAATTTAAATCCCTATCCAGAAAATCTCTCTGCACAGGGAGAAGTGGGCGAATCAAAACATTTTGCATAGCGAAATATTTAGGACAACGAAAGAGAATATGGGTGATAGAATCAGGTTCCCCAAGATTACAGTTACAAAGTCTATCCTTGTACGGCACACCCCTGTATCTACCGAAGACCACTACTGAGGGGAAAAGGTTGAACCTTGCAAGCATAAAAACCCTCCTAAAAACTGGAATTGTCAAATTAGCGATATATGGTACCATGGAGGTATGCAAGGGGAGGAGGGGTAATGAATAGGGAGAACAAACTCCAAGACTACCAGCATTAATGATCTGTGCCTCTATATCCCAAATTCTCCTCCTTACCACCTGCAAGATTGCTACCTCACCACAGTTATAGAGGGGTTCCAGATCAATACCTAGGGTACCCACCTTTTTCACTATGGCCTGTGACCACTCTGATGTATAGGGGTCAGCTAAAAGTTGGACCATTAGGCTAGCAGGAGGAGATCGAAAATGGAGCCGAAGCCAATATTTGATCGTAATGATCCAAGCCCGAGATTCTATCAAGTGGAGACCCAGTTCCTTATAAAGGGCAAAAAGTGACACTGAGTTGGAAACACCAAGAATCCTGCGCAGAAAAGTGGAGTAGATGCTCTCAACTCTCCTAGTAAAAGACTGAATCCAGATAGGAGAGAGAGAATACAGAACTTACTGTTACTGCAGGAGGAGCTTAAGGTGTGCAAAAATAAGCACAATTTTTAATATAAAATCACAATTCATTTAAATTTATAACGCCTGCGTAATTTTGTTATAATTGAAAAGCTGGGGAGGGGTTTAAGTGAGCTGTTAGGCTTTATCATAATTGGAAGAAGTTAAATCCACGTAAGACAGTTAATAAGGCCATGTATATGGTTTTCATCTTATGTTTAAATCGCTCTTTCCATTCTCGAATGCAGTCTTAGGAGATATTTCTATTTAATGATGTGCTTAGAAAATATCTTTTATGCCAGAATAAATTTGTTTGCCTTTCACAAGATACTATCGCTTTTGCCGCAACTAACCTCCCTGCCATTTGTTAATATTGATGGATGTGTCACTTCCATGGTATAGACCTCTACAGCCATTATCCTTTTTTTAATAAAATCTCAGATGTCATATTTTTATAGCCACCGAAATTTTGGGGCATTGTGGAGAAAGTATTGCTAACTGGACATTTTAGTGCCTTTGCAGATAAAAAGTGTCTCCATAATTAAACTATCACAGAGGCTTCAGATGTTTGTGCCTCATGTGAGAATCACGTGGTGATTAACTCCCTTGCAGGAGTTCATGAGGTTCTGTTAATGGGAGATAATAAAAGGCATTGTAGTGTTCCTAACATAAAATGTGCTCCTGTGTACTTTAGTTTTGAATTCATCATTGCTAATCTCTCATCCCCCCCCCCCCCCGTTTTTTGCAGCACCCCCAGAAAATATTCCCAGATCTGAGTTCCAGACCTGTGAAAGTCTCAAGCTTTCTGGGCAAATGGATGGCTTTGAGAATCCCCGTTCTTGCCCTCAGGAGCATAAAGACAGGTGATAACTTTGTTCTTCCTACTTTTGTTTTGGTTTGAACTATATTTTGTTGCACTTCAAATATCATATTAGCATCTGACAAATGTTTTGCCAGAGGTACCCGTGGATATTTTTGCTCTGGAATATTTTTCTAAGTGTCAGTGTAGGACTTGCAGCCCAAACTATTCTGACTGAGCTGCCTTTAAAACTGAAGAGAATTCAGACTTCAGATACTTTCCCCCAACCTCTCTGCAAATTTTTCTGTGGGAGATTATTACTGAAAAGTTGTCTTCAGTTCCAACATCCATATTTTTAAAAAGGATATTGGAAAACTGAAGTGAGGGTACAAGCAGTAACTATGCAGGTGATATAATAACATGGCTTTTGCTGATGGATGTCAGTGTTCTCTGTCTACTAAAAGAAAATATCCAAGAGACTGCTGGGTAACAGCATCTAAATATTCTCATAAAGGAATAAGTGAATTCAGAGTAGAAGCTGGGCTTACGTTTTTGAAAGGGATGAAGTAATTTCCCCCATCAGCGGCGGGAAGCCAGAGGTGGAAACCAGGAGTCTAGGTTCATTGTGACTTTCAGAATTAATTCTGCATGCTTTCGCCACATCTTCAGAAGGAAGATCACCATAGTTTCAGATCACTGTAATCATACGAAAAGAGCACTCTAGTTATCTGAGTTATTAGATTACCCAAATATTTTGAAGGCTGCTTAAGTAAACAATGAGCTAAAATATTTCTTTATAACTTCTAACTACATATGGTGTGTGTTGCCATCTCGAGTGTTTCCCACAAGGCCTTTTGTACTCTAAGTTATGGTACTCAGTGAAATGTTGAGGCTGCCTATGTAAATTGGGAGGGAAGATAGCACACCTAAGAAACTCAAAGCAAAATGTGAGGCTTTTCACTCAAATAGGGAGTGTGTATTCCCATCTGCTTTGCATAAACTTTCCTTTGACAACTGGTCTCAGCCAAAAAATGAAAATGTTTTCAGTTTCTCTGTGAAACATAGGCGTAATCTTCGTGGGGGCAGCAGGGCGTCAGCCTTCCTCCCCGAAATTTTTAGGAAGGTGCTCAGCCTTCCCCGGGGGCAGGGGTCTTTTGGCGCCGGAGCCTGGCTCCGGCAGCCCAGGAGTGAACAAAATGGCGGTGGCGGCAAGCCCTGCTCCCAAGCGAATTCACTCTAAAATCGGGCTGCCTATGCAGCGCGACTACTCCCCTTCTCCAGGGCTATTTTTGGGGCGGAACAGTGTTCTGGCTGACTTCCGAGCCGGCCCGCCCCTTCCTTTCCCTCCCCACCCCAAAAGTGGCTGTGTTCCCTAAAAGCCAAACAGAAGCTGTGGAGCACATGTCAGTTAGCGGATGAAAGGGGCTCCTTCCAGCCAGCCCCGCCCCGCCTGCGCGCCCCGCCCACCCTTCCCCAGGAGGCAAAAAGTTCCCGCCGCTGGGCAACAAGTTTGGCGGTGAAGACCGCTCTGCAGCTGGCCGAGAGCGAACCCTTTCCCTGCTGGGCCTCCCTCCGGGCGGGGGGGGGGAGCAGCTGGGATCCCCGGAGAGGGATGTTGCCGCCATCCTCCTCCTCCTCCAGCCAGCTTTGCAGAGCTGCCAGGGGAAGGGAGAGAGAAGGAGGGAGGGTGCCCATTTGGAGGAGACTGGTCAGCAGCACTGAGATTCATTGGGCGCCAGGAGAACAGGTATTACGTATGGGAGCCACCTGCCTTTCCTTCGCGCGCACTGCCTTGCCTCTGGAGAACTGGCAGGCAAACGCCAATGGGCCGCCTATCAGGAGGGATTCCCCCCCCTTTCCCTCTGGTGGAATATTACGAAAGCAACTTCTCCATGGGGTTTCTAAGGGGCTGCTGGAGGCAACACCAAAGGAACCCCTGGGCAGCCTTCTCTCATTTCAGGCTGCTCCTTACCGGGGAGGGGGGCGGCGGTGGCAAGTGGTATGGTAACCCTAACACACACACACACACACCAACTGAAGGTTGCATCCGATCAAATGGGGTCCAAACCTTGAGTCCCAGTAATACTGCCTCAGTATTGATGGTGCAGTAGGAATCCCTGCCAGGTTCTCATGTGCGAGGAAAGGAGGCGGCAGAGCCCGGCGGTGGCAGAATGGGCCGCGCTACTTCCAAGTGTAGGTGGAGAATCAAGGAGGATCTCCTTTTGCAATGGTTCCCTATGCGGGGGGGGGGGGGATCCCTGCAAAACACCACAGCAGCAGCGCAGCACATAAAGCGAAGGTGT